TGTTTAATAGTGATTGAGGAGAAGATAAGAACTGTCTGACAGTGTGATTTTGCTAGGAAATTAGGAAACTGTTTACTGGAAAAGGAGGTGAATTGTTAACATTCTGCATGGTAGCATTTACACGCAATTTAGCCAGAAGGAATCTGACCCTGAACCGTGGCATCCACAAGAACACCTTGACCATTGCACTGTTTAATATTCTGGAAAAGGGCTGCTCTCCATTCCTTCCAGGGGAATGAAGCCATTTTGCAGCAACAAATGGAGGACGCATAGGGAGAGGGAGGAGAAGAAATGAGGAACGGGTAGAGATACAGAAGAAAAAAAGAGCAAGGAAGAGATAAACCTAATTTTCAATTCTCTTGCAAGGAGATTTCCCTTGGGAAAAATGACTTTGGGTCCTGGTGTCTGCTCCAGGTTTCGCTTAGAGATATGGCAGTAGAGTCATTGGCTAAGAGGCATAAATAAGTTTGAGAGCAGAGCCTAGAACCCAAGATTTCTTTTGCAAAGTGAGACCAGTCTCACTAGTTTATACATTTTTTTTCTTTTTACCCAGTTAAACCTACTTTATTTTCTATATAGTGGTTCATCATTGACAGGAGAGATGGAAAGAGAATCCATTTCAGAGCTTGCTGTTAAAAGTACCATCAAGGAGATGCAAGTTTGAATCCCTTCAAGTTGAGGAGGACCTTGAAGCCCAGTGTTTCCACTTCATGTAATAACTAGGCTGATGAACAAAAGGCAGCTTCCTCCCCTGCTTCAGAAGAGATCTGTTTTAAACCATGAGTGCCATGAAGTGCAGCATGTCTGGAGTACGCTATCAGCACAAAAGGGCAGCTTTTCCCTAGGCACTTGGGAACTCACTGAGCTGTCTACAGAGGGTACAAGCATTCATATAAAGTGTCAGGACCCTGAGTGCATTCTCCCACTTCTAGGAGGTTAGCTGGCCAAGGTCAGCACCTTCACTCATCAGAGCTATTGTGAGGAAAGCTAGAAGTGAGCACCTACCCCTCATTTCTCCTGGGAGCTGCTTTTAAGCTGAGGGTTTACCACTGGCCCCTGCCTTTGCTTCACTGCAGCTGTGTCACAGCTATGCCTGCGTCCAGGCTTGTACCTCCTTGATTCTGCCCTGATCCAGACCTCCTGGCTTGGCTTCCCAGCTTGGTCCTAGACTTACCTCATCATGGCATGAGTGCTGGCTGAGTTTGACTCTGATTGTTGTCTGTGGACCTGATTGAGGTGCTGTCCCTGCCTGTCTTGCTATCACTCACCTTCCTTTGCAGAGCAGCTCAGGAGCCAGCCACAAAGTCACTGGAGGGAGGTCAGGCCCTCACTTCAATTTACTGAATTTTTGGAGATCTTCAGAAGTCCCCATTTTTTTTGATACTTTAAAGAAGCTAGCTTTCTGACTTTGGCATTTTGAATCACCTGGATGGACTAAGAACTTCTGCGTTTAGGTCATGCAAATTAAAAACCATAAAGTAAGTGCTTTGGAATTGGCCCTCTGTCCACAGAAGAACATGGATGCTGCAGTACAGAATATCACATTGCCTAACGTTTGGTTGCCTTGAGACACGAAATGGCATTGACGAGCCTAGAGCGCAGCTGAGACAGAAAGCAGCGCTTATATTTAACCCCAGAAAATAATGTTTCCTAAGTATCCTAGGAAGCATAGAGTTTACAGTTCCTAAAGCAATAATAAAATTGTGCTTTTTCTCAGTAACAGCAAAAGCCTCAGGTGGCAACTTCAATGTCAGCTGCTTTTCAAATTGCTTGAATTCTCCTTATGCAATGAACATGGAGCCTAGGCGCATAGTTCTGGTTCATTAGGTATATTTAAGAAGTAAGAGCTGGTGGGGTCCCTAGCCTAGCCTCAGACAACTCTAGCACTTGCAAATAGATCCTTATGTACAAGATCATTCACGAAACTTTTTCATGGGCTTAAAGCAATCATATTGCTGGCAGTATTGTAAAACCAGACAGAATTCCATATGAGGTGCAGAAAAATGAACCCCATGGAAAACTCTTGCTTTTCCACTTACGAAATTAGTTCAGCAACCTGAAACAGAGATAGTGTGGTAAGTGCAGTAGAAATAGGTATAAATATAATGCGAGCTATTAAAAAGCTCATGTCTATTATAATTTGTCTGCATAATGAGAGCAGAAAATAACTTTCAAGGTGTGTCTGCACAGATATATGTCAGCAGAGCACAGTTATTTTCTTTTTGGTAACTGAGCTCGCATGTTTAGTAAGAGCGTGGATAAAAGGTACTACTTTGTGCCTACAGATATACCTTCAAGTATTATGCAGAAGTTAATATTAGATATGATTTATTTAGTTCAAATTACAAGGTTGCACTAGAATTTGCAAGTTTTCTTACTTTGGCCATAAAAAGCCCTTAAGTAAGTCTTTTCAGGAGTCTTCATATGTTCAGAGTTTATAAGCAAATTAGTAGAAGTGAGGACTCTCAGATAAAGCTGATGAGAGCCAGATTCAGAACAAACAACAATTCATGTAACAGGTTAGAAACTGGTGGAACAATAGTTGCCATAGGATATTACGGATGCAAAATGTTTAGGCTCAATGGGAGAAGTACGTAGCAAAAAAAAAAAAAAAAAAACCCCAAACCCCAACATATTGGGGCTTATTAAGTAAAAAAACATATAAGACAAAAGAAATTTTAGGCTGAGAATCGTTACAGGCTGAAAAAATACAGAGGCTGGAGAAAGTAAGTTACTTGACCTGTTCTTGTCCTTCCCTAGTCATCTGCTTGTGGCTACTGTTAAGGACAGGCTATTGGTGAAGAGACAGCCATGGTCTGTACAGCCATTTTTATGTGGTTCTAAAACCACAGAAATGTTTCAAAGTAACATTCGTGCAAATGAATGCATACAGAAAACAGTTTTTAAGTTAGCATGTAGGGAACATGCCAAGAATCCTTAATCAGCTAAGGAAAAGAAGCATCCTCAATGTCATAGCAATTAGCTCTGTAGCTGAGCAATCATCACAGTAATTGAAAGGGTTACAGTTAATATAATAGCTCTTTGGAGAGAAAGCAATTAGTCTGAAGATTTCAAGAAAGTATGCACTTTAAAAGTAAGTGACATTTCAAAAAAGTTATTTGACAAGAAAAAAAACATTTGCTCATCACCTACTTTCTCATTAATGAGGAGCTTCTTGGTAACGCAGATTGGACATCTTGCATCCTCTGGTGTTCAGCTCTGTTAAGCTGGCTCCGATTATGTCAGTCTGTTTTTACTTCAGGGAGAAACAATCTAGTATCCCTTCCATCTTCCTTTAGCTCTTTCATTTTAGCTTTCTTTGTTTCTCTGTGATCATAGTTTTTACGTATAGTTAGATAGGATTTTTTACTATTCTTTTCTTTTGGTGAGGCTAGGTTTGCCTCTGCTAAAATGTTTCCTCCTTTCTTTGTACTCTAAGCCTTCACCATATCCAGGAAAGTTAAAAGTCCAGCATTGTCTCTGTCTTTCCTTCAGCACAGGGAGCAGCTGATATCTTCTTCAGTGTCTGTGCCCAGAGCTGGGCATTTATAAGTGAAGTGAGACTTTTTTTGGTCAGGGCTGAAGTGATGTGGCAAGGCAACAACTGGGTAAGTAGGTGACTGTCCAGTTCAATCAACCTGTATTTCACCTCTGACTCTGACATCTGGCAGTCAGTTGTAACCAGGGTTGATTTCTTTTTTCAGTAGCTGATAGCAGCATTTGATCAATTTGTTTTTTTCCATCCTCCTCTGATGAAGAGCCTGTGGTCTTAGAGATACTGTGCTAAGGCCTTTGTCACCTCTGGTTTGAGCTGCAGTAGTACACTTGGCATAGTAAAGCTGAGCCCCAGTGGAATTGTTTATAAAATCCCCATTCTTGGCTTGAATTGCACACCACCACTTGGTGATTTGCACTGGCGTCGTTTACAGTTCGGGATGGTGGGTGTTGATTCTGTTGTAGGAGCTCCCATGCCTCGCACCCGATGCAGTGCCACCTGCAGACCCTGCGACTGCTTCTGAGTGACCTGGTCTCTAGTGGTCTCTAGTCAGCATACAAAAGTGCTATGCAAAGGCATTAGCTGGAGGAGAGCGTATGGGGAGAGACCTGGAGCTGCAGTTGTGCGCTGCTCCATGCAGGTCTCTTCATATGAGCCAGTCAGTTTGTAGAGATGCCCTGTGCTGAGGCAGAGAGCTTGCTTGGTTGGGTTGGCGCCATCGTACACATGGTCCTCCATTCAGTGGTGAAGATGTGTCCAGTTTAGCATGGCACTTGCCAGTGAAAAATAGGAAGTTTCATGCTATTGCACTTGTGATCTAGTAAACCACCAGCTTTTCAGTGTGTGTGTGTGACACAGTTTTGAAATTCCCTTTAGTCCAAAATAGATAGACCTTCTGAGTATACAGCAAAACTCTTCTGGGAAGGACTGAGAAAGCTGGGCTTTGGCAGGATTTGGGGGAATGGTCCAGGGAGGTGGAGCTGTCATTCTTTTACAGACAGTTTAGTAATAGCACAGTAGTGTTCTAAAGCTAGACAGAGTCCTGTATATTTCAGAAGTACATATAAATGCATTAAGTTTTCCGAGAAGTTTTTGGTATGTGGGAGGCAAGGCATATTAGTTCACATGATGCTTACATCTCATCACTGGGCCCTTCACTAGTAATAACCAACAAATCCCTGCAGCTTAGGATAGACACATAAAATAGCGGTGTCTTAACTATTAAAGGAAAAATCGGGGGAAAAATGCAACTATTATGTTGGCAAATATGATCCAAGTTTTAAACTTTGGAATTATTTTTGTATTGTGTTATTATCTGGCAGTAGCAATGCCTGGGGCATTCTTTTTTACATTTTTTAAGTTGTGTACATAACCTAGAGTTAATGCTGTTTTTCCTCCAGTAATCAAATATAAATCCCAGAATTAATGAGTAGGGTGTTTTCTCCCCCTGAACAGCAGGACATCTGTGCTTGCTCTACTAGCATGTTCTTTTTCTTTTCTTCAGTCCCACTCTTGCCATGGCCCACAGGAATCTAACTGGGAGCTGTAATGTTAACTGTGGATGTAAGATTCATGAGTACGAGCCTGTCTGTGGATCAGATGGAATAACATATTTTAATCCTTGCCTTGCGGGCTGCATCAATGGTGGAAACCACAGCACAGGGGTAAGTGCTTCCCACACTCGCCCACATGCAGTCTACGAACGGCGAGTAGTCCATCAGGACTGAGGCAGATCAAAGAACACGTTTTCTGTAGCAAACTTTCCTTCTCCTAAGCTTCAGAGAAGTTGCAGCTGACTTAGGCCTGAGTCTTTCTCTGTTTTGAAAGGCTGGCAGTGTTGCTATTTCACAGCCTCTTCCCACTTTCAGTCATGTAGAAATTTCAGGCACAAATTCATTTCTACCAAGCAAGTCCTCCAACCAAATGAGTGCAAATTGTGCCATGAGGAGACATGGCGAGACAGCATTTCCAATGCAGAACCTGAAGTCCCCATGTCAGTGGGCTGCATGCCTGCTGTTCCTGCAAGACTTGGAAAGAGGACCTTGAATCACTGTCACGTGATCCAGCTTTTTGCTAACATAGGCTAACCTGCTATCCTTTCACAAATACATTAGTGTTAATCTTAAGAGCAGTTACATTTCTTTTCTTGTATTCCCTTTCTGACTGGAAGGAAGAATTTAACTCTTCTGATGGAAGTGTTTTAAATTCCTATTTAAATTTAGTTATGGCCTATTTAAAGCCATTAGTGTTTGTTGCAGCCTCATCATTTAGTATAAGTAGCCGTTCCACCTCCACCACTGTACAGATAGGTCTTTTATTTGTATGGCCAAATACGGACTATTTTTTTATTCTGCTCTTCTGAAGAAGTTTTGTCATTTTCTGTAAACCTCTTCAAGGCTACATGATATTCTTTGAACTCAAGTAATCAGAAATTAAAGGATGTTAATAACCCACTTTCTTTCTTGGAGTATATCACCAGTTACAACCAAGTCTTCCAGTTATGGTATACTGGGGAAGGGCGTTCTGCTGTTAAAATCGCACCACGGAAATTTGGCAATTGCTAGGACAGGGCACAGAAAAACAGTGGAAAGGTGGAATCTGACGTTAATGTCAACAGAGCATTATGCTTATGCTTACTTTGTACAAAAGACAAACTCTTAAATTCTTCTGTTATAGAACTATCTTCTAAAAAGGAGTAAGTAAGAGAGACAGGAAACAATATAAACATTGATTTTCTCAGAACTTGATTGTACTTTCCAGGAAGCTTATTTATAATGTATCCATCTCCTAATTTGCAGTCCTGAGCCAACCTGTGAAATGTGAGAATGTTAGAGTTGTGATTTCTTGTTTTTGACAAGGTAATGTTCTAAAAATGAAGGCTCATATATGATTCTATTTAGAACAAATTAGTTTCTTTTATAAGTTTTTTTTTTACTTGGCAGAAAATAGCTTTGGCCCAATTGCAAAAGGCCTTGAGTATCTGGTTAACTTTCAGCATCTATGTAAATTTTACTTGCACTCTGTTGGACTGAGGCCGTAGGTTTGATCTTTGCTGCATTTCATTTGCTATCAAACTGATGCTAGTAATTTGTTTAATAGTGAAGTACTTTGGGAATATTTACTTTTCACTCCAAATTTTGAAACATAGTATTTCCTATTATGATTTAGCCTGAAGTTTTAACTCAGCAGCTAATGGTGAATAAAATAAGTCTGACATTGGTTTGAAAATATATTTCTTCCTTAAATAATGTTTTATGGAAAGTACTTTAGGAAACTACAAATGTAAGCTTGTATCACTTTATAACACATAAAATGAATATTGCTAACCTATAACATTTGGATTTCAGTTTATAACATATAATATTTTCAAAGTTAACTACTCAAAAGTTGGAAGTAGGAGAAAAGAATGCCTGTGTACAGTTCATGCCTGTTCACATTATTACGCTCTAGCATTTCTGCTGCATAAGGCTTCTGTCTCATTTAGTGCACAGCCTTGGTTTCTCTGGTGATGAATCAAGACTATATAGTACAGAAGACTATTTTCTGTAGAATACCCACTATTTGGAAGCAATAAGGTAAGGAATTGTAGGAAGAAAGCAGACACTCACCTGATATGTGGCAGCTAAATGCTGCCCAGGGAAACTGGCTTCTGTCACTACCTCTGTTCCTAAGTGATATTAGGCAAGTTAGCCTAGGGAAACTGGCTTCTGTCATTACCTCTGTTCCTAAGTGATATTAGGCAAGTTAGTTAAACTAAACGTCTCCCAGTTGCTCATTAAATTTGTATTCTTCGTATTCTGGATGATTGATATGAACAGTAACCAGAAGTATCATTTATAGAAGTACTGAGTGCCAAAATTTGTATCTGAAGGCAGGAAAAGTTGTGTTTAGAATATATTAAATTGTGTATAATGAAAAATAAACTGGAAAAAGGGGTCCCAATTGTCTCAAATTTGCCACCCACGTTTGTGAAAGTTTTGATCTGGGTTTCAGTTACTTAGCTGCAAAAAAGAGCTAACAACATCACTGCCTCATCTCATAACTGTTCTGAAGATAAATTAATCTTTTTAAAAGAGATAAAGTATAATGATGAGTGCCATAGAAAAATCCATATGAAATATGAGTCATTCTGTCTTTGTAGTGGAATATGATTAATGTGAGGAAAAAGTACCTGGAGCCACATTTTGAAAATGGGAGGTAAAATACGGGATAAATGGATGGTTCATTAAAATGTTCAGCAAAATCCTACAGAAAAAATGTAAGGCTATGTGATAACACAAGCACATGCAGAGGTGTAAATTAAAGCTGACAAGCAACCTTAATTCAGGTATTTCCTAATGGCTGAGTGTTTTAATTTACAGCCTTAAGATGTAGCTTGAGTTAGGTAGCTTTGTGCATGTGTGGTTTCTAGGTTTTATGAAAGCAAACTTCAAAACCATTCTTGTCTGTCCTTTGGATAATAACGCTGGAGGCAGAAGACTCCTGACTGAGAAGCAGTATTTGATTCCCGATGAGAAAACTATGTGAGACTGTCATACAACGTCTTTGCACAATGTCTTTCTCACAGAAGTTTTTCATACGTAAATGTTCACTGTTTCTCTTTTTCGCTTTCCCTAGGTAAGAAATTATACAGAATGTGCCTGTGTCCAAAGTCGCCAAGTTATTACTCCACCAACAGTGGGCCAGCGCAGTCAGCTTAGACTGGTCATTGTCAAAACCTACCTAAATGAAAATGGCTATGCTGTTTCTGGGAAGTGTGATCGAACCTGCAATACACTTATCCCATTCCTAATATTTCTTTTCATAGTTACCCTTATAACAGCATGTGCCCAGCCATCAGCAATCATAGTGACACTCAGGTAAGAGCTTAGTTGTATGTTTATTTAGAAATTTGTACTGTGCTTACCATCACTGTAGTATCTATATCACAGAGGTTGCAGCTTAATTCAATCAAGCTTATTTATCTCTATAAGGTGAATAGAATAGGGCTGACCTTTATAAGGAAAATATCACCTGATAATGCACCCTAGGAAACAAGAAATGCCCAGCAATTTCCAGACAATGAAAAGAGAGGATATGTAAAAGCATGATGTAAAAACAAATGGTTACTCTGGAGAAATTTTCAGTCTCCTTAGGGTAATGATTTGGATTTTCAAATCCAGATGAGAAAAAGTTAATATTTGACTCATTCATAGTTAAATCGAGAGAGGACATTTTAAAATTGTCCTTTTCTGTTTCTTAAAATTGTTCATTCCTGCCACATGCCCCGTTTTGAGCCTTCCCTTTTTATTTCAAAAGAATTTTGAAACTATCATATAGTATTCTGTAGTAGTGTTGT